ATACTTTTTTAGAACCCGAAATGGATGAAATAAAATATTTTAAATAAATTTAATTTATTCAATTACAGATATTATAAGTAAAATATTCATATAACATAATTTAAATTCAATTTATTAACAATAAGTATCGAATAACAATGAATGAAATATGTTGATTTGGCATCGTGCCTTAAGGCAAATTGCTGAAACTTCTCTAAGCGTTATTCAACATTCGAGGAATGAAAATAATCAATAATCAATGAAATTTTTCAATAATTAATTGCAATTAATTTTTATATTTCCGAATAGATCATTTATTATAAATAAATGTAAATTGCTTAAAAGTGCTTATTAAATTCTACGGACGGCGACGGACGTATTCTAAAAACAACTTATGTGTTCACAAGAAATTTGTTCTTAAAAATTTGATTTTTTGGTAACTTTGATTTTTTAAATTTTAAAATCGATTTTTAAATTTTTTTTTCTGAGAAATTGAAAAATTTTGAAAATATTGGATTTTTTTTTGAAAATTTCGAATTAATCTAAAGTTTTTGTAAGAAATCTATTTTTTTAAGTTTGATATTTTTTGAAATTTTTGAATTTTTTTTTTTAAGAATTTTAATTTTTTTTTGAATTTCAATAAATATAATTATAATAAATTGGTTATTCCATACATGTAGGTGAACATATATAGGTGAACTTTAATATTGAAAATATTGGTACGGAACCAAAAAAAAAAAATGACACAAAATGTGTACACATTATTAAAATCTCTATAAAATATCTGATGATTCTGCAGATCTGATGTGCATATGTCTAACGATCATTTTTGAGTGCCAAATGACATTTTTTTTGTTTTTTTTTTTATTGAAACTTTGTAACTTTGTACCTGCATTTCCAAAAATTTAAACAATTGTTTGTTTAGTCAATACAAATAAAATGTTTTTGGAATTATTCAAATCGAAAGCTCCGATCTCTCAAAAACTGAATTACCATTTATGGATTTTTTTGCCTCGTGTCTTCGGAACGGCTGGGCCTGCCTTTGCCAAAAAGTAATCAGCAATCAGCAACAATTGAATTATTCACCTACATCATTTTTTTTTAAGGTATGCCAAAATGTTGAGAAACCTTTCAAACGTAAAGATATATAAAAAATTTCATTTTTGATTTTTTTGCTTTTCATTTTTGATTACTATAACTTACCCTACGCAAAGTTAATTATAGAACGCAATAAAATATTGAGTAATCAAAGTTATATTAATTGCATACTATAGGAATGTGCAAACATATACATTATAAAAATTATACTATAAATAAGAATTTAAAGCATAAATATTAGATGTAAAGCATAAATATTAGAAAATTCTGTAGACGAAATATGAAATAAAGAGAAATATGTAAGTGCCAAAAATTAATTATTTTTGGACTATATGTAAAAAAATATTCAAGTCTATTGCAAATACACGTTATTATGTAACCAACAAATTTATACAGTGGATGTTACTAAAAGTCGCAGCAAAGTGTGGCCGGGCCGGGCATGCTAGTATATATATACGAATTTTTGAAAAGATAAAAATTAAAACAGAACATTTAGATAATGAACACTAATTAGTACTAGTTTTTATTATTTATATTTTCTGTACATATTAACAAACTAAGTTATATATTAATAGACTGTAGAACAAAAGATGGAAAACCCTTACACAGATTATAATCGGCGTTGTATGACATAAACTCTCTTTATATTCATAAGTAATGAAACAACTGTAACCCCTCGCCATCGTGAGTGTGTAGATTTATGGGGGAGGTACAGAAGTCTCGGAATTGGAAGTTCGAACTAGTTTTAAACTTGCTTCGTTCAAACTTTAACAGTTGTTGGATACTTAACATAGAACAAACTTCTGCTCGACCTTAAGACACCGTTGCGCAAACGCACACATGCATTAATGACAATCGCACAAGCAGACCGTACGTTTCATAGGTTGTGCACGTTCCGTATTCAAAATTCATATAATGTACTTCATTAATCAAATTAGTAATTAATTATAATATTTAACTATTGATAGTACTTTGTGATTACAGTACATTATGACGGGCGAGATCAGAAAAACAAAATCAATTATTTTACTAAGTCAGTTGACTTAAAATATTCATTATGAAAGACACTGAAGCTGCTGATACATTGTAATGTAGTACGCACATATATAAGTTATAAAATAATACTGCATCATCAGGTTAAGTTTTTTTGTCTATAATAATTTTATACCTGGATAAATAATTGTTATATTTTATTAGTCTGATTTTACTCTATAAGCATGTGATCGATTTATTTGCAAATATAAATAACTTAATTGATGTATAATATCGAAACATATATATATATATATATATATATATATATATATATATAATAATAATAAAAAATAGAAGTCTGCCCGAAGGCAGGTCCATAGTGTGAGAGCACAACAAATCAATGAAAAATATTTTTTTGTCATAACTAACAAGTGCTATCTAAGTACAAGTAAGTTTTTTTATACTCATTCCCTGAGTATTATTTTTCTTACTACCTTTATTTTTATGCTCTAGTTTTTGCTAAAAGAAATTGATATTTGCGATTGCTTGCTTTTAAACACTGGATTGCCGATGCACCTTCTTGAAATTTTACGACTTTTTATACAACCTATAATTGCGTATAAAAACCATAGTAGTTGCTTTGCTACTCTTTTCATTTTCAATATTCTTACGTGTTTAGCCTACATTGAGGAAAAACAGTTGACTGTTATAGAAATTTTAAATAAACAAACAAATACATTGAGTTTTGTTATTGCGCGTCCATTCATTTCGAATGCACTATAATATATTAGAAACATGGGAAGAACAGAGGATTTGGACAAGTTTTGACTTTTGGACTAGCCTTTTTTACGAAATGACTTTCAATGTAACACCTTGTCTGATTTTTTATAGCTTTTATAAATAATGTTGAAAAGAAGTGAGTTATTGGAAAAGCTAAAAAGCATAGGTAAAGAGTGTTATGACATCGAATCAAATGCAGAAAATCGGGCACATCTGATGAACCATCTAATTCTGGAGATAGCGATTTAGAGACGATCACCATCGATGAGGATGAAAGTGTCATCAATGCGCCTAGGAGAAAGTGTTGGGTACTAAGTGGCTCAGAACCTTTTTTTACTTTTGTTTCCAAGGGTGTGAAAGGAGCAACAGGCTACACAAAATGAGCATTATAACAGATGATCTTGTCAGTGCATTCTCATTGATAATAGATAACTCTATAATCAATCATAAAAAAGTGCACAGAATAAGAGGACGGTCAAATTTTGGGGTATGACTGGACAGCGTCATTACCGGAAAGACGTGCATTCATTGTAATTTCAAATGCTCGTGGGGCCTACTAGGATGAAAATTTGAAGTTGAGTTATCTGTGGTCAGCAAAGTGGGGTTCAGATTTTTTTTAGAAAAAGTACTCTACCCAGAGATACGTTCGAACAAATCTTACGATTTATTCGTGTTGACAGCATCACTGAAAGTAGTACGCCCCTGCATATATTTTTCAATATTTTGGATTTAGCAGCAATAAATGCCTGGATTCTTTACAAGGAAGCTACATGAATCAAAATCCAAAATTTTTGTTTGAATTAGCAGAACAGCTTTGCGCGGACTACATGGAATCAAAACGAAAAAGGTCAAAGAAAAATGATGACCTATAATCCAATAGCAATTTATTTTTCAGATAAACTATTTTTTTGTTGGTAATACTTACAAATAACTAGTTGTATAACTGAAAAAAATATATGAAATATAAAAAAATAATTTTAAATAACATTCTAAACCTAATATTTATTTTTTTCATGATGCAGTCATTTTGACTGCTTTCGGGCAAACAATCCGTCTTTCTAGTGTCAAAACTATATTTTTATATTTTTTGTTTCATCAAAGGGCATGCAAAGTTGAATAAAATTTTGTGCTTATTTTATTTAAAGGTTATACGTTTAAGAACATACATGACTATCTGCTTGAATAAGCTAAGTACCCTCCCTTTTCGATAGGACGTACGCACCCCAATGAGTTAACTTTTGCACTAGTTTCTTCACATTTATTGAGCAAAATGCCAGTGATTTTACTAATTTTAGATTAGATAAATTTGGTTTTTATAGTTTGGTTAGGTTTTTGCTAAATTCTTGAACCGTGTTATAGCCAACACGTGCTTTAAACGTACCGTGTTATAAGGAGAGTGGTATCAATTCTCGAATCGTGTTATGGAAGTAATTAATAATTGTTTATTACGCATTCACTGCGCCGACTTCGGAAATAAGAGTTTTGTAGTTATAAATGTTTATTGATATTTATTTTGCTTAGTGAATAATATAATTTCTGCAGTCTGTAATGTGTTTAGTTTACATTGAAAAGTTTCCGTTGTGGCCGTGTGCTTTACAGTTAAGCGTTGAACAGTGTTATATGAGATATTTTCCGGTGAATTCCAAGTTTTGGTAGATCAAGCCATCAGTTCGAACAAACTTCCGCAATTGGCGTTGAAGTTTGCACTAAAACTTTGTTTAGAAAGAAACTTTTGTAATATATAAGAAGTTTCTTATAACAATTGATATATGTACATGCAAATATTTTCTTCTCTTAAAGTTTGATGCGCTTATCCGTGAGTTTATTGCGAAGCGCTGTTGTATCATATATCTCGTCTATCTAGCATCGTTGATTGTGTGTTGGTTGATTTAATTAAATTTGAACAGCATAAGTTGAACGATGTGATGCATATGTATTCAATTTAATAACGGCTTGCGACTTTATATGTTATTGCATATAATAACGGTAATATTTTACTCTTGTTATACACGGCATAAAACTTACAATTGATTACATATACTTCATTCAAATACATCATCGTATTAATAACTTGTGGATCTATTAGAAATTATATTTACAAGTTCATTTTGTTATTTGATTAATTGTTTTTTATATTGTTTTTGATATCTATGACTTTCTTATTTCAGGGCTCCGCCATGAGGGGGACAACCGCGCGTCAGAAATAGCCTGGGGCGCGACATAGTTATCCAAAGCTTCTGCGGTTTCCAAAGGGCAATATTTTAAGCTAGCCCTTACACGGAAGTCAACGAAAAGCGGTTACAATTGAAATTTAGTTAAAAAGAATCTTGTGCAAATGGACTAAGCTGTGTAGGTTTTGTTGTATTCCATGAGTTATTAGTGATATCTCAAAAACAAGTGACTTAATAAACTCTTTTACATATAATAAAGTGAATTCTATTTTTGTATAAATTGACATTTATCATTTGCAAAAATGATGCCCAAACGTGCACGTATGGACTCGTTAAGGGGCCCTATTGCTAATGGACCGATGCAGACACGGCCACTTGTCGCTTTACTTGATGGCCGAGATTGCTCAATAGAAATGCCTATTTTAAAAGATGTAGCAACAGTAGCCTTTTGTGACGCTCAGAGCACATCAGAAATTCATGAGAAGGTATGAGGATCTTTTTAGTCGTTGGTATTGGTGCGCGACCTTATTGCAAACGTCCAAACCAGACATAATTTTATAACACACACTAATATATGTATATACATATATATATATATATATATATATATATATATATATATATATATATATATATACATACATACATACATACATATTGTAGATTCTTGGATTAGGAATGGAACGAATATTAAGATGTAAATATTGACACACTATTATATGTATGTATATATATATATATATATATATATATATATATATATATTGATATTGCAAATAAAATAAATATGATTACAAAAATAACAAAAGTTCCAGAAAATACAATTTTATTAAGTGATTACTGCCATATAGTTATCGCATATATAGCCTTTTGTAATAAGAATCCTTATTTGCTATCTAAATAAGTAATTTTGGTATCCAAGTATTAGTTTTTTTTTATAATATGCTTTGATAAAATTAGGTGGGTATAATTTTCGTTAATTTCTTCATTATTTGTCGGCATGTCATTGCTTCTATTTTTATGAAAACAAAAAGCGTTTTGTGCTGATACTGTTTTCGCCGCCGGACTTTTGAGATGTGCAAGGCCAGCAAGTATAATCATTGTTTTGCTCAGAATTCGCTGACAGTAGAGAAAAAAACTTCGCTTTTCTTATTGCGCGCGCTGTTTCACAAAGGCGCTATAAGTCTATCATCAGCTGACGCTTACTTATTTTAGATTTCGCAACTTCGGAATAAATCTGCAAAAGAAAGCACTTTTATTCTTATTGAATTAGCACACAATTCGATCATAGTCAATTGTAAAAATGGTTGATATTTATGGTTTTATGGTCAATATATAACTGAAATTTTTAACAAAATTTAAATTAATCATTTATAACTAAAAATTGTAACTAAATCGTGGGCGCTGAAATGAATTCCCGCGCATTCGTATTAAATACGAAATGTGAAATTGTTCTCTCAACGGACTTTTCTTTTGCGACATTTAATTTCGTTTTATTAATTCATCTAACAAATTCAAACTCATTTCAAATTCATTGAAAATTAATGTATATATTATTATTTAGTTCATGCAGTTCTTTGTTCATATAGAATCATTGCGTTTAAATTAAATTTATATTTAAAGTGTTCGTTTCTTGTCTTGTTTCAATTAACTGTGCTATTATTTATAGATTTAGTTTAATTTCGTTTCACTATGGCATAATTAATATTATGCGGTATCATTTACCATTTACATTGTACTGATTTATTTCATAACTAGGTGCTTAATGAGGCTGTAGGTGCCTTAATGTGGCACACAATTATATTAACAAAAGAAGATCTTGAAAAATTCAAAACGCTGAGGATTATAGTTCGTATTGGAAGTGGCGTAGATAATATTGATGTGAAAGCCGCAGGAGAGCTAGGTATTGCGGTCTGCAACGTTCCAGGATATGGCGTTGAAGAAGTAAGTTATATTTGCTCATACATAAAAAACACTTGCTAATATTGATTTTGAAATGTTAGTTTTCGAATCGAGTTTAAATTTTCTGAATTTAGTATATATGTATCAAAAACAATTAATACCCGAGGTTTCCAACCGCTGGGCGCGCTTCAAAATACAATTTTCGAAAATAAACAAAAAATGTTGAAATGATGCAACAAAAATGAATAAAGAAATAATTATTTTTATGTATATTTTCTTATAGTATTGCATAATAATGCCTATCCTCATAATGAAATTATAATTTCAGTTAAGTATTTATATTAGATTGCTAGAAAAATTAAGGGAAACGCAACATTTTTTTGTGAAATGAAAGTTGTTTTTGTAAAATGTGAAAAATTGTTAACATAAGTGTTTGAAAACTGGCCAAGCAATATTTTTTTTGTAGTCTTTACAAAGCGAATTGCTGTCAGTACGTCTATTTATTGCTTCATTGTAATAATGGCAGGTATCCTTTGCTAATTTTTTTTTTTTTTTTTAATAAATTGGTTTTTGAATGTAAGATCGTGCGATTGAAGAAATCCATGTAGTGTTTGGGGTTATTGATGTGTTTTGTGAGCATAGTTTTGGTTTGGTTCTTGTTTTTAGAATTATTTTTTGTTGCGAAGTTCTTTTGTGTAAGTTTTCAAAAAATTCATACACACACTCATACATATATATCAGTATTGTATATATATATATATATATATATATATATATATAACTTATTGTATGATTGTATTTATATTATACTCTTTTTTCAACTTCTTAGGTGGCCGATACAACTTTGTGTCTGATACTTAACTTGTATAGACGAACTTATTGGCTAGCAAATATGGTGCGAGACGGTAAAAAGTTCACAGGACCTGAACAAGTCAGAGAAGCAGCGCAGGTTAGATTTTTACACTTCTGCCTTAGAATTTTTGGTTTCCGTTTGCGTTAATACATTGTTTTTTTTTCTAACACAGGGGTGCGCACGAATTCGTGGTGATACATTAGGAATAGTGGGCTTGGGTCGTATTGGAAGTGCCGTAGCTCTTAGGGCTAAAGCTTTTGGATTTAATGTAATATTTTATGATCCATATTTACCTGATGGAATTGAAAAATCGCTCGGCCTAACGCGCGTGTACACGTTACAAGACCTGCTTTTTCAAAGCGACTGTGTTTCGTTACATTGCACACTTAATGAACATAATCACCATCTTATCAACGAATTTACAATAAAACAAATGCGACCAGGAGCATTTTTAGTGAACACAGCACGTGGTGGCCTCGTTGACGACGATGCTCTAGCCGCCGCTCTCAAGCAAGGACGTATAAGAGCCGCTTCTCTCGATGTACATGAGAATGAACCTTATAATGTTTATCAGGTATAATATGTATTATATATATATATTTAAGTTTTGTATGTATTGATGTATTTCTTATTTTATTTGAATGTTTGGTTTCATATATTTTAAGCCTTCTGCAATTGTTTTGTTCTATACATATATTTTCTCACTCGATTCACTGATTGTTACACTTACAAATGATTTAACGTAAATCAATGGCAGCTTAATATATATTAGGGTGGTCTTTAATATGGACATTTTTGAATTTTATTGCTCCCAGGGGTTTAATGCTTTCAAATTGTTAAAAATATTCTCTAAAAGTTTTAGCTCTTAATATTTACTTTTAGATGGTGCGCAATTCAATCAAAGCTTCGTATGGAAATAGCATGGACAAAATTTCGAAAATACTTAGGTATAACTTAGCGACAAATGAATTAAAAGTGCCAGTTAGTGTCATTTTTTTTTTGAAAATTCGACGCTTTGCAAAACAGGTTTTTTATAATTTGTTTTGTACAGCGTCGAATTTTGAATAAAACTCATTCATTTGTTTGCTAAGTTATATCTAAAAAACATTTTTAAATTTGTTGAAAATTTTTCTATGCTATTTCCATACTAAACTTTGATTGAATTGCGCACTATCTAAAAGACAATATTAAGAGCTAAAACTTAGAGGATTTTGTTTTATCAATTTGGAAACATTTGATCAGCCCCTGGGAGCAAGAAAATTCGAAATTGTCCATATTAAGGACCACCCTAATATATATAATAATTTTATAGGTGATCTAAATATATACAATATGTAATCTAGGTGTGTAACATATATAACAAATGATATAATTTTCAGGGACCCTTAAAGGATTCTCCAAATCTTCTATGCACACCACATGCTGCATTTTATAGTGATGCCTCAGCAACTGAGTTACGTGAAATGGCTGCCAGTGAGATACGACGAGCTATTGTTGGTCGCATTCCTGAATGTTTGAGAAATTGTGTAAACAAGGAATATTTTTCACCAGCTACGCAGGGTTATCCCGAAGGTAGCAAACTATGTGTGTATTGAAAGTTTGTTAAAGTTTTTTTTAATTATATATAGGAATATGTTACAAGTAATTGCTCATTGATTTGATTTCATCAAATTTTTGTTCTAAATATTTTTTTGTTTGAAAGACAATTGGTAAAAAAAGTTTTTTTCTTCAATATATTAAGGATTTATAAATTTTTCTTTAATATATATAGTATTTCTTCAATGTGATTAATTATTGACTTGTTCCTTTGTGTAACTCAGTACAAAGGGCACAAATTGCTGGCAATGATTTAAAATCAATGAACAATTATTATGATTTTTTATAGATTAACTTATTTTTTAATTTACTATTAGAGTGATTGGTTGACATACATACAAATTCCTTCTACTATTTAAATTTATTTTTTCATTAAAAATCAATTAACAATTGTCATTTTATTTTAGAGAATAACCTATTTAGTTTTATCCACGAGTGAATGGCTGGCTTATATACAGATTCTTTCTAGCAATTACATCAATGATACTGTTACATTTTTATTTAACACTTAATAGCATTTTGTTTTCATATTAAATGTGAATACATGTTATAGCACTTTTGTTTTTTTTTATCTTTTTGTTATTTTTTTTTTTAAATTTTGTTCAGATATTTTTGTTTATGCCTGTTTTAACAAAATGTTATATGCTTTGCTATATTTGTCTTTATATTTAGCTATTTTCACTTTTTTAAGATATCATTTTAATCTTATTTTATTTAATTACAAAATACTTAACCTACATTAACTTCATTAATAAAAAATGACTTATATTTAATTTTTTTTTCATATTTTTATGCATGTGTATGTATGTGTGCATGCAGAAAAATAGATATATTTTCACTTTTTTATCTTGAATAAATAGCTAATCATTTAGTAAATTTGTCATTTTATACATGTAAAATTGTATATGTTACAATTGTTAGGACAACCTTATCATCATTGGCATCCATGTTATAAAATAAAATCTGCATTCTATAAGCTTGTGCAAAAACAGGTTCTGAAAAAAAAAAAAATATGTAAAATCTCGTAACTCCTTTTTTTTTTGAATGCGCCTATTCCTAATTTTTGAATACAAAGGTCAAAATCAATCAATCTCTGCTTGCATGTCACAAGAAAAATAATAGTATTAAAAGTGTTTATTATAATTAGCTAATAATTTTGTTTTAATATTTTCAGCTGGAATAAATGGCGGCTATTACGCAGGTGCTTTACCTGTTCAGCAAGCGCATAGTACTACACCACATGAGGCTCCTCACAGTGCAGCTCCCAGCCATGTGCCTGCCGTTCCGACTGGTGGGGGCGGCCCTCCTCCACAGTCCGTTGCTGCTCCAGTGACGCCTGTGGCTCCTCCACCGCCACAGGGTATACCCACGCACGCTATGGTAAATAATACTAGTGACCGCACAGACGATGGACACCTTCATATACAATAGACTGACACACTATCCTAATTTGCTTTGTATTTTTTTTTTCAATTTTTTCCAAGTAGATTTATCTTTATTTTTGTTTTCACTAAAGTTTTCACTTGCTTTAGACTTTTGTCGATTTTCTATTTTATAGTTGTAAATTTAAATATCATTTGTTTAATTAATTTTAGAGTAAAATATTAACTTACATTTTTCTTTGCCTATATAAATAATAGTTAAATGACATTTTTGGTTATATTGATATTATTATCTACATAGCTATCTGTAAATAATATTTTTAGCTTCATTTTGTCATAGAAACATTTCTAGCACTATTTTTCAAGAAATAGTTTCTGTTACTATTTCATAGAATTATATTTTTTTTTTCATTATTTCACATCATATTTACTCTCTATCTTATTTTTTTTTTTATCTAGTTATAACAATTTTAAAGTTATAACGATATGCCAATGAACCAGAAAATGTAATTTAGCATGTTTATAATTTCACTGTAATTTTTCATGTATATTGTAAATGTACTGTACATGTTGTTTAATCATTTTTAATTTTCAGATACATTTTTCATATATCTGCATGCGTTTTTTATGATAACTCTGCATGATCATTTACAAGCTTTTACATGAAATCATCAATTTTGTATATATTTTTTGTAATACAAATTGTAAGTAGTTATTTTGTGAATGCTAATTGTATTATTTTGGTATTTATATAATAAATTGTATGTCATTGTGAAATCATTTTTTCTTTGGACAGCAATGTGGTTTTGGAAATATTATAGTTATATATAATAATGATTATGCATTTTTCAGCCTCTCAGTGCCCCCGATCCGAGCAATCACCACTCTCAGAAACCTGAATCATCAGAAGTACATTAACATCTTAAAGATTTACCTTAATTAAATTTAACCGTATACATTTCGATTTAACTGTATTGTTTATAATTGTTTGATATATTTATGAATTAATTTCATTTATCAAGATACTCCTTGGTAGGCAAAGAAGTATATGAAAACATTATGATGTAATTTAGCAAATTTTTGAAAATGACTGGAAGATATTCAAATGATTATTGACGTTAGTACTGTTTTCTCATACAGAATACCATTGATGGGTTAACATAATGTGTAATCTGAAAATACATCTGATCGGATATCCACGATATGTTGAAAAATGTGTAAAAGTGGTGAAGCTGAGGATGAAATAAAATGTGCTTGAACTGTGAAAACGTAAATGCATGGTAAAAAATGGTTGATTTTATGAAATGGACCCTTTAAACAGAGAATACTAAAAAATATTTTTAAGGTATAAGTTTAATTTTTAAGGAGTAAATTGTTATTATAGTTGATTGGGGTGGATCAGTATTTAAATAAGAGTGAAGTTCTTCATCTTTTCTGTAACTTAGGATAAAGAATTGTGGTTGATGTAAACAAAAAACATTATTGTGTAACTAAATATTAACTTTTTTTTGGAATTTTGGATATCCGATACAATATTTTTCTCATCAAAGTGTACTCATTAATACATTCTGTGCTAAAATTGTTTACTCACAAATTAATCTTATTTAAATATGAATAATGTGAATTGATGTACAGAAATAAAATATATTGAGTTATAATTCTTGAAGAATAGTTGCAAAGCTATTTATATTATAAGCACTTTGATAATTGCTAACATATCGCCCATTCCATAAAAAATTGATTCAAACTCATATTTTGGATTTACATTGATAGCATTATATCAAAGAGGCTAAATTATATATCAGTTATATATAATAACATCACAAACATTATAGTTAATGCATAGGTATAAATTTATTATGAAGGACGTATACATAAAATTTGCCTTTAATATTTTATTTAAATTATGATTCAAATGCGTTTTGAGACTTCTTTAAATTACATATTTTTATATTTAAACTTAGAAAAAAATTGCATATAAAAAGTGAAATTGGATAACAGACTGTTGAATTTATTGAAAACATTACTGATATGCATGTTTGTGTCACACGTAATGCATATGGCTGTATTATTTATTGTTCTAGCCGATTAATTTTGGGATATTTTTGTTTTTTAAAATTTCTGAATACTCATAACTTGCTTTTGGAATATTGTGTTATTAGATCGGTCTTTTAGTTTAATTTGGTAAAAATCATTATGTGAAGAAATTTATTTGTATTTTGAAATCTAAAATGCAAGTTTACCACCTGAGTAGCATGTTACATCTTCAACCCAGAAAAAATTAATAAAAGATGATGCAGAAGAATATTCATGTATAGATACTAGTGCTGGACTATAATATTGCTTAAGGAATATGGAAATTTGGCATGTTCTGCTATTGAAGAAATTCCCTATTCATTTTATTTAGATTTTATATTAAATATTTTACAAAGGAAATAAAAAAAATGTGAGAATTTTAGAGCGGTGACAATTAAGGACAAGTTTTATTTAAGTATAGGTTATCTCTTTTCATACATTTAAGATAGATTTAATAAGAGTATAATGTATAATTAGTGTTCTATATACTTATTGATAAGTGAATCAAAGAAAATTGTAAATGCTTATGTTTTAAGGTTTTAATGTTTTAATGTTTTAATGTTTTATTTCAAAGAATTCCCGTAGTCGAGTTCTATTTTACTTAGTTTTTCATATGGCTATTTTAATTGACAATTGATTGGTATATATAATTATTAATACAAGATTATTGCATTTTCCATTGTCTGTGTTTATTTGATTCCTGAATTCCATACCCATGTTATACTTACATTTATTTGTTAGAACACTTATATAAGTTCTGACAAAAATTTGCATATAGCATATGTATAGTGTACATATACAATATAAATTCCAAGTATAGATTAAATTTAATAGATAGGTGTGTGTGTGTGCTTGTTTGAATGCATGTTGTGTTTATATGTGTGTGCACAAATATATATATATATATATATATATATATATATATTTATTAGTGTAGTTAATTTCAATGTTAAGCTTTATGAGTAAATTTTTCTAAGGAGTATATGAAATAAGATTTATAAATAATTCTTTAATTTTGAAATGTTTTACAACACTATATGTGTACGAAACACATACGTTAGGACTAGCATTTATACACTAATTAATTATTAACAAAAAGATTTTTGTTACAATAGATTAATAGAAAACTGAAGAGTTGTGTAACAAAAATAAGTAGATACAATACAAAATGTTTTTGCAAGAGAACTTGTATTTACAAATGGCTTTGAGGCTCAGTCACAAGTTGCTCTGTGCTCATTTGTTGATGTAATAGTTCAATTCTAATATTCATAGATGATGACATAAAATTTTAGTCGAAACATTTGGAAAATTATAGATTAAATTATATATATTGATTTAGATCTTTGCCTTTGATTTGATGTATCACCTTACAATTAGATGAATTTACTCATATATATATATATATATATATATATATATTTTTGAAGTATGTGAGTTTGGTGTTGATATATATTTTGACGAGTTATTTTGATTCGGGCAGTAACACCAAGTAAAAAAACTAAAGCAGTTTTAAAATACATTATTTAGCCATACGTTTCGGTCTTTGTCGAGACCGTCATTCAGTGGAAAAAAGAAAATTAATTATACAAAAATACATTGGATGAATGACGGTCTCGATGAAGAGCGAAACTAAAAATAAATAAAGTATTTTAAAACTACTTTAGTTTTTTTACTTGGTGTTACTGCCCGAAACAAAATAACTCATAAATATATATATATATATATATATATATATATATATATTTGGATAGTCTTAAATTTGATGTTGATATATTTAAATTGAGTTAAAAAGTTCGGCGTTACATCAATAAAAATATTTATATAATTTTGTTGATGTCACACCTGTAAATATATATACATTTATTATTGATTCAACATCTGACTTTTAAACTTATATAATTCAAGGCTTTTCAAATATCTATATATATATATATATATATATATATATATATATATATATATATATATATATATATATGAGTAAATTCTTCCAATTGTAAGGCAACACATCAAATATATATAATATATATATATATATATATATATATATATATATATATATATATATTAAAAAGTCTAATAATTGGGCATAATGTCAATAAAAAACAAATTTCTTTTAAAAATTCATTTTAATCCATATGTTTCAGTTATAATCCTAGCTCATTCAGTGCAAACTAAAAATAAAATTCAAAAACTAAAACAATTAAATTGGGGGAAAAAAATATAAAGAGTAAAAAGTACTTACAATTTGTTAATCTTAGTGTTAAAAACAGAAAATTCAATCATCCATAGTATCAGATGATTTGTGAATGTTTTTGACTTCACAAGGCTTTATAACACACTGTAATGAAAGTTCTGTCGGCCAGATGCGGGCAATATACGGACTTAGGCAAAAATCATTTTTTATGGCTCTTGTATTGATAATTTACGAAAAATGGGAATGTATTGCCTTAGCAAATGCTGAGAAATATTATTATGTATATATATACACATGCACATACACACACACACACACACACACACATATATATATATATATATATATATATATATATATATATATACAGTAGAACTCCAATTATCCGAATTAATGGGGACCGGGACCCATTCGGATAATCAAATATTCGGGTAATCAAAGTTTTTTTTTTAAAATTGCCATTGGAGAGAAAGAAAGTTACGTTTTGATATTGCACTATTTTTTTATTGAATTAAATGAAAGAAACATGATATTTTCACATGTTTTAAATATAAATAAAATGTACTTATGTACAAGTTTAGAAATAAAAATCATTGTTTTTTAAACATCTCCGTCAATGTAAGCTGTTATGCGGTCTTCAACCATTTTTTTGGGCAATTTTTTTTCTGAAAGTGATTCGGATAATCGGCGATTCGGATAATCGGCGATTCGGATAGTCGGAGTTCGGATAATTGGAGTTCTACTGTATATATGTGAGTAAGTTCTTGTGGGGCGATACATTAAAGAATAAAAAGCAAAGATTTATAAATTAATCTTTAATTCCAAACGTTTCGACATTCAATTTAATGTCATAATAAGTGGATATTAACGTTGGTAGGTTACATCTAAAGATGTGTACAGAACACTAGAAATTAGCACTAACATTTATACATCTAACTTGTCAACACCATGAATTTTTTATCATTTTTTGTATGATGTAAAAAGAAAAATGATAGTTTCATTTGACAAAAATGTGAGTAAAGTTGTGTACTTTGCACTATCCGAGGCATATTGAGATATCCTCCATAATTTAATCCAAGATATGTTTTTGAAAGGCAGCATTCATACATTCGAAAAAGAAAAAATACAGGGAACAGTCGAACAAGACCATGAAAGCTTGGAAGCACGGAAGCATATTACCCGAAGTTCAAAAAAAAAAAAAAAAATCCATCCAAGCAAAAACATAATTATTGATAATGAATTGTTAATAATAATAACAAATGGTAAAAATAACCAAGGGAGGGCAAAGGAAATTATTGATTGTGGTGCTCTCATATCATTGAAGACCATCATTTATTATACATATTATATGTATTATATGTGTATATAAATGTACATATATTAAAACGAGTGTGTTAAGTCAGGCAATATCACCAAGTAAAAAAAACTAAAGCAGTTAGGAAAACAGCTTTATTAATCCATGTTTCAGTCTCCATCGAGACTGTCATTCAGTGGAAAACTAAAAAGTTTTTTATAACTAATTTAGAAAAGAAAATGGATACAACATATTGGACTTGAAGATAGTTACTTACAGACAAAAATAATTAAACGCTACACTACTTAACACAATTGTAACACCAAGCTATCAGTAGTTCAAAAATTTAAAACTAATTATGAATTAGAGTTAAAAAACTAAATTTGTGTACATAGTTGTTGAAGTCTAAACGCTGAATGAAAGATTTTTTTAAAAAAATGTGCGAACTGGTAAAAACATGTGGTTTCGGGAAGTAATAAAAAAGGGACATGCTTCATTCAGTAATAATATTGTTTGAATAGATGATGGAGGAATATCTTGTAATCATTGCAGAGCGAATAGCTGTCAAGTCTCTTGTTGATTGCTTTATTGCTTAACGATATTAGACAACCTTCACTAAATCTTCTTTTAAATATATTGGTTTCAAAATGTAATGTACTCGGGTTTAAGAAATCGATGTTATGCTGAAGGTTATTTATGTGTTCTGTGAGCATTGTTTTATACTGATTCTTATTTTTTGAATATTCAATCATCAGCAAAGATAAAAATGAAAAACAAAAGTAATTAATTTATGTTATTTTTAGGTCAGACCTACGCAGAAAAGATTAATTCAACATTGAAATTATTTATTAGAGAGAATGCGTTCAAGTGCAAAGAGCGACTATTTACCGGGAGGTCCAATGGCAGCGTGAGCATCAAAAACTTTGCGGCGCACATACCCTAAAACTATTGATTTTACAGATAAAAACCTTATTGAATAAATTATAGTAAAATTTGCCTAGTTTAACTTTGTATAAAGTTATTTTCTTGTAAGATGAGTCGGAAAGGAGATAGCGTTGAAAAACTGATTTTTCACGCAATTTTTTCCAATAAATCTACTAAGGTGTCCCAGTTTGGCTGGGACAGTCCTGGCTTTTTACCTTGTATCGCGGGTTTTTCTAAAAGTAATTTTTGACTCGGATTTACATCCTTTAAAGTGCCGAACTTATGTGGCGTAATAAATTTATCATTTATAATAGTAATTGCATTGTATAGAGTTTTATACGTGCAATATTTTTTGATTTTTTAAAAATGTAATTTTACAATTAATTATTATATAGTGAATGTTATGATACAAGTGTCTGAAAATTTATTTCAATATTTAATGAAATTTTTGCTTTTTTACAGATTCTGTTATATAGTTATCTATTTTATTGATTGGTTTCATTTGGCATTTCCTTTTTTTAATTAAATTTCTACCAATCTTTGCATTTTTAATTTAATGATATATTGAAATTATTATTATATTTTAATTTAATAATGGATTTTTATTATTATGAATTAAAATATAGTATATGTTATGTACTAGGTACAATAACAACCTACAAAAACGGTGCATATTGGCTACTGTTAGCATTTTATTTTCAAATTTTGGCGCTTTATGCGGAAACACTAAATACTGTTTCACAGGTCATACTAGTGTCAAAAGTATCTACTTATAAATTATTATATTATTATATATTTTTTTTATACTTAGTAATTCAACTGGCAAACACTCGATTTTTTTAGTCAAAATGTTTAATTTATAGGTAAAAAAGTTATTCAATTGTGCTTATCAAGTATTCTGGGATATCAAATAAAATTCTTGATCATATTTACAAATAATTTGGATCTTTATTTCTGGTAGGTCTAAAATTAACATTTGATTAAATTCTGTAGCCTTTCATATACATGTTTTTTTGTTATATATATTTGTTTTATCACAAAATGAGCATGAAATGTAACTCTGTATAAATTATTTTAAATCTAAATTCATCGTTGAACGGTAAATCAAGAATTTAGTATATAATGTGATCGGGTATGTCAAGCGCCCAATATTGAATTATTTGCATGAACTCGCATATGCCTGTTTAAATTCCCTGATTGTGAGAATCTGAAAAATAAAATATCGTATGAAACTTATATATATTTTCTCAATAATAATATTATATGGACTTATTTTAAATATTTTACATCATTCCAATTTGTACCAATATGTCAACACACTTTTTGTGTGACGACTATCAGTACCAATTTCTTTAACATTTTATTAAATGTCACTATTTGTAGCCGGCTCTTGAAAGGCACGCCATAAGCGAAGATGGCAATTTTATTTTTTTTACACGTAGAATATCGCATGTCCACCGGTGGTACACAAACACAACGTACTAACATTACAGGACCGCGCGGCCACCGGTGGACAAACGATGTGTTATCTGGAATAGACTATTTTTGGTCAGAACCGTTGGTGCGGTCCCCACGAATTAAAAATTAGAATGCATATTCTGTTTATTCATTATCTAGATATTTATATTATACTAAATTTTAGTAAACAAATGAAAGTTAAACTTCATATTTAATATGAAAATTACAAATTATAATTATAGTACTGATTTTTTTAATACTCTTACTATACATATTTATTTATGTATCTGTTTTAAATATATTTGATTGATATTCTAATAATACTTTCTAGTATTTGATACACTAGAGTATAGACAAGTATTAGAAAATGAAAACTAATTGTTGAATTGAAGTTAAGAAGTTAAGTTTTGCAAATCGTCCGGTTATCGCCGGTTTTTTTTTTTTTTTTTTTTGCGGGTTGGGGGAGTACTAATTATAATCGGATTCTCCCGTATACGTAGTGTGTATATCCATAAAATATATTTTTACTAAAGTTTAGGTTCGTCCGTAGATAAGTGGCTAGAACGACTGGACCTGAATCAGGAGTGCCTAGTTCGACCTCGCTTCGAGCAGCCTGTTCAGGGGCCGTTCAAGTATTAGGTAAGCAATATAGGGGGGCGGGGGGGTTGTTGATTTGCTTATTTTGGGTTGACATGGGGGACAGGGGAGTCTGGATGATGATTACGTCATAGGTAGTATTTTTATTTTTTTACATTAATTGCAAAATATTTACGTAAGCATGGGGGTAGCGGGTAAGAGCTTTGCTTACTTTTGCTGACAAGGGGGATGGGGGGGGGATAAATAATTGTAATAATCTGTTTACGTAATACTTGAACGATCCCTCAAGAAGAAAATACGTAACTAGGTCAGTGAAAGATGGTTAGAAAATTGGTTAAATATTGAATTCAATATGATTATGTGATTATTTTTTTTAACCATTTCGGTACGGCGCCTACTGTCCACGAAACGTCGCTCACAGCCATAATTTCCACATGCCATAACTTCCACATGCAGGATTATTTTTATTATATATATATATATATATATATATATATATATATTGTTACTTATAATATATAAAAGTACTTGAGTAGAAAAAATTTTTATGAGAATACTAACGAATTATGTTTTTTTTTTTTTTGCGGGTTGGGGGAGTACTAATTATAATCGGATTCTCCCGTATACGTAGTGTGTATATCCATAAAATATATTTTTACTAAAGTTTAGGTTCGTCCGTAGATAAGTGGCTAGAACGACTGGACCTGAATCAGGAGTGCCTAGTTCGACCTCGCTTCGAGCAGCCTGTTCAGGGGCCGTTCAAGTATTAGGTAAGCAATATAGGGGGGCGGGGGGGTTGTTGATTTGCTTATTTTGGGTTGACATGGGGGACAGGGGAGTCTGGATGATGATTACGTCATAGGTAGTATTTTTATTTTTTTACATTAATTGCAAAATATTTACGTAAGCATGGGGGTAGCGGGTAAGAGCTTTGCTTACTTTTGCTGACAAGGGGGATGGGGGGGGGGATAAATAATTGTAATAATCTGTTTACGTAATACTTGAACGATCCCTCAAGAAGAAAATACGTAACTAGGTCAGTGAAAGATGGTTAGAAAATTGGTTAAATATTGAATTCAATATGATTATGTGATTATTTTTTTTAACCATTTCGGTACGGCGCCTACTGTCCACGAAACGTCGCTCACAGCCATAATTTCCACATGCCATAACTTCCACATGCAGGATTATTTTTATTATATATATATATATATATATATATATATATATATATATATATATATTGTTACTTATAATATATAAAAGTACTTGAGTAGAAAAAATTTTTATGAGAATACTAACGAATTATGTTTTTTTTTTTTTTGCGGGTTGGGGGAGTACTAATTATAATCGGATTCTCCCGTATACGTAGTGTGTATATCCATAAAATATATTTTTACTAAAGTTTAGGTTCGTCCGTAGATAAGTGGCTAGAACGACTGGACCTGAATCAGGAGTGCCTAGTTCGACCTCGCTTCGAGCAGCCTGTTCAGGGGCCGTTCAAGTATTAGGTAAGCAATATAGGGGGGCGGGGGGGTTGTTGATTTGCTTATTTTGGGTTGACATGGGGGACAGGGGAGTCTGGATGATGATTACGTCATAGGTAGTATTTTTATTTTTTTACATTAATTGCAAAATATTTACGTAAGCATGGGGGTAGCGGGTAAGAGCTTTGCTTACTTTTGCTGACAAGGGGGATGGGGGGGGGATAAATAATTGTAATAATCTGTTTACGTAATACTTGAACGATCCCTCAAGAAGAAAATACGTAACTAGGTCAGTGAAAGATGGTTAGAAAATTGGTTAAATATTGAATTCAATATGATTATGTGATTATTTTTTTTAACCATTTCGGTACGGCGCCTACTGTCCACGAAACGTCGCTCACAGCCATAATTTCCACATGCCATAACTTCCACATGCAGGATTATTTTTATTATATATATATATATATATATATATATATATATATATATATATTGTTACTTATAATATATAAAAGTACTTGAGTAGAAAAAATTTTTATGAGAATACTAACGAATTATGTAAAATACTAACCTTAGCAGACATAGTTTGCATTGGTAGGGTTTTTCACCTGAATGGATACGTAGGTGCTTTGTTAATGTAGAACTGTCTGAAAAGGCTTTCTTACAAGCACGACATCTGCAAAGAATTGATATTATATAATATATATATATATATATATATATATATTATATAATTGATATTATATAATATATATATAATCTAGTAATAAAAACATTCTACTAATCCTACTATTTGGTTTTTAATACACTCTGGTTTTAAATAGTGTCGGATTAGCGAGATTCTATTGTATATATATTTATTACTATTATAATAGTATAACAGATAATTAGCACTAGGGTAAATTTTAGTTGAATAAAGATAAACTACAGAGATCAAAAGATACAATAAGTACATTTACTTTTTACTACATATATATGGAGAACATATACATATATGGAGAAAGTATAAAATATTGAAACAATTTAAATAAGGAACGATTGATAATACTAGGGTTTGTCGATTTTTCAAAACCGATTTTCCAAAACCGATTTTGAAAACCGGTTTTTTGACGAAAATTATGAAATTCGAAAACCGGTTGTTAGTGGAAAAAAAACGGTTTTTACTGTATAAATAGAAAATGACAAATATACAAGATGGAAGCAAGCGTTTTTACACTTGGTATCATATCGGTTCGATAAAATTTGGAATCATATCAGTCTGTTATAGTTTCCTGAAAGGTTCTGTATTATCTTTTGTCTAATATTAATTTAGATTATTACATCAACGTATACATTAATTTAAATCAATGTGATTTCTTGTTGAAAGAGTGGATTGCTCTACTCAAACTTTAAAAAAAGATTTTTTAGCTCTGGAAGCCACAAATAAAAGAACAAAATTTCAGAATTATTATATCACGCTTTAAAAACGATCAAGCCTAATTTAGTTGCAAGTGAAAGAGTATTTTAGATTTCAGAAAATTTTGTGAGTAAACAAAGGACACTTCTAAATAACAAAATATTTCATTAAACCAAAAAATAATTAAATATTTAAAATTAATTAATTAAAATTTTTCGGAATCGAATAAACTCGGGATTTTTTTAAATTGTTTTTAGAACTAAAATTGACACTAACAAGTATGCATCAATATGAATGTAATTTTTTTTTATTTAATTAAAAGTTAAAAGTATTTTATTTAAAAATGTATTATTTTTATTCATTCAAATTCTTTTCTTTTCCTATCATAAAAATATTTATATTGCCATATGTGAAAATGATGCATGAATAACGAATAATCATTGTCAAAGTATTTAATCCAGATCAACTATTATTTCTTTGTTCTACTAATTAAAATTAAAATAAATTTGTTTACTATTCATAAAGTTGAACATTCAAAAACTGTTTTAAATTACAGTAAGGCCGTTAATTTTTTTGTGTTATAGAATATTCGAGCAAAAGTTGTTTTTTTATATAAAATTCGAAAACCGGTCAAAACCAATTTAATTCGAACACCGGTTTTGTGAAATGCCACTTTTTGTATAAACCCTAAATAATACTTTCTGATGATATTAATACGTCTTATTAAAATGCTATTGATTTTAGTCAAAAGTAAATATTGCACTTGTTGCTTTTGTCAATATATTTTGTTTCTAATAATGATTGAAAATATTTGTTTCGTGCGGATAAGATCTAAAAAATGCATATATATATATTTATTTATTTATTTGGATAAATATACATATATTTATTTTTTTTCAATACCTGTAAGGGCGCTCGCCCGAGTGGGTTCTCATATGCGTGGTAACGCTGGACGATTGTGAAAATCGTCGATCACAGACAGGACATCGGAACGGTTTTTGACCCGTGTGCGTTCGCACATGTGCTGTTAAATTCGCTGCTTGAGAAAATGATTTACTACATTCCGGGCACCTGTGTGAAGTAACAATATTTAGAAAGGAATAATTAAAACTTATTAACCCCTTCTCGTTCCATTTAGCTCGACGAAACTTGGGCCCAAGTGCTGTGACGAATGCGTTTGGGCCGACTATCTATTCACGAGCCTAGCTTGTCATATCCATTTTGGGCCAAAGTTTTCATCATGAGCTAGATTCGTTAAGCACGGGAAGGGGTTAACTGACAGAATATGTGGTTAACTCGCATGGAGGCACTTCTTAGGACAAGCTTATTAAGCACATATATTTAAATAGAATGATAAAAAAGCAATCAAAATATAAATTTTAAAATGAAAATTAAAAAAAAAAAACTAGTAAATGCTACGGAGGGTGACTAAACGTCTGCGCTGATGTTTTACATCGGTTATTTAATAACCGACATTAACTTCCCGTAAGTTATAGTAACCACAAAAAAATCGAAAATGAAAATTTTTACGTTTCAAAGATTTCGGAACATTTTGGCATACTTTAGAAAAATGGATGTATGTGTGTGTGGATACAAATATTTGTCGACGATTTCAGAAATACGGTTCAAGTGGTTTGAATGATTCAAAAAACATTCGATTCCTATTGATAAGGAGATGCACTGATTAGTTTTTGGTAAAGGCAGGTCCAGCCGTTTCGAAGATACGGGCAAAAAGTGCAAAAAATGGTACTTCAATTTTTGAGATAACGGAGCATTCGATTTGAATGATTCAAAAAACATTTTACTTGTATTGACGAAGTAAGAACTGGTAAAAATTTTTAGAGAGCAGGTTTAACCATTTCGGAGATCGAGTGAAAAAAGTAAAAAATATGCCATTGGTCAGTCAAAAATGATTATTAGAAATATGCCCATCAAATTATAAGATATTTTATAGAGATTTAAATAATAACTTTAAATTTTGTTTATATTTCTATGGGTTCCGTACCATTGTTTATCCGTTAGACTGCGACACGGTGCTTACGCACTTTGATATGTCATTTCTATAAAAGCTATGCAGCGCGATTGCTTTGAAAAAAAAAGTTAACAATTTTTTATAAAAAATAAAAATAAAAAAAATATCAAACTAGCTATAAGTGGAATTCTGTCTTAAGGCAATTAAGGCATCGTGCCTTAAGGCAAATTGCTGGAACTTCCCGTACCAAAAATTATTATTTTTTTAAAAGCGATTAACATTTTTGAAAAAAAAATACTTCGAAAAAATTCTCAATTGTTAAAATCTCTATAAAATATCTGATAATTTGATGTGCATATGTCTAATGATCATTTTTGACCGCCAAATGGCTTTTTGTTTTACTTTTTTCATTAGATCTCCGAAACCGCTAGACCTGCCTTCATGAAAATTTGATCAATTTTTCATCGTGTCAATGCAAGTAAAATGTTTTTCGAATTTTTAAAATCGGACGCTCCGTCAAAAACCGTGTTACCGTTTTTGGCACTTTTTGCCCCGTATCTTCGGAACGGCTAGACCTGCCTCCACCAAAAACTAATCAGCACGTCTCCATATCAGTACGAATCGAATGTTTTTTAAATTATTTAAATCGGTTGATCGGTGTTCTCGAAATCGTCGACGAAAATTTGTATCCGCACACACACACACGCACACACACATTAAGGTATGCCAAAATATTCAGAAACCTTTGAAACGTCGAGAAATGCAAAAATTTTCATTTTCGATTTTTTTGCGATTACTATAACGTACCCTACGGGAAGTTAAAAAGTCAATTAAAAAAAATCTCAAAGATCTAATTTTCTTAAAATTTTCAAAAAATATAAAGCTTTGTTAAAAATTTCAATTTACGATACTGGAAGTTCTAGCAATTTGCCTTAAGGCACTATGCCATGCACCACTAGCAATATTATTTTACCTGTATGGTCTTTCGCCAGAGTGCGTTCTGAGGTGGGTTTTAAGTGTGCTAGGGCGTGCGTACGTCTTGCCACATAGGCGACACATGTTCGGACGCATGTCTGTTATTCCGCCTCCACTATCCAGATGAAGACTGTCATCTGATAATGACTGTATGTCAGTTTTAATTTGATGGCACTAAAATCGATAAAAAGAATGCATTTTTATTATATACGACTCTGAGTCGTTAATACTAATTTCACTCACTGTACTATGTATGTTATATCCCTGCTTCTGGGCAGCGGTTGCGTTTGCCGCAGCTGCTGCTGCTGCGTAATGCCATTGTGGTGTTTGTTGACCGACCAATCGTGGTTCGACATTGTTCTGTGTATTGACTGCACTTGTTGCTCCTGGCGGCGGTCGGAAGTCTGCAGTAAATGAATATGTGGCTCCCCCATGACCATATTGCGCAGGACTAACTAGAGGCGGGTAGATTACATTCATAGAAGGCGAAGCTTGCGTTCCCCATTGCATCTGAATGAAGCGACATAAAGATTTTATTATTTTATTATTATTGATAATACTTTAAATTATATACAGTGATATCCCGACATACGAGTTGAATTAGTTTCGTAACCAGACTCGTAGATAAAATCACTCGTTTCTCAAAGCAATTTTTCTCATATAAATACCATTAATTTGTTTCCAATTTTAATACCAGCACTGTAAATTTTTTGAATATTCAAAATAAATGTACTATTTATTAATTTAATGATTGCTTTTTCCTGCCTCTTTATGATATTGCGAAAATGAGTTAGACATATTTTGTTGAACAACTCCGCTGCTATTGCAACTTTTTCGGGGTTATTTTTATCCACAATCTTAGAAAGCTGCTTATAAATTATTGTAAGGCTCTGAGCTGGAGCTATACTCTTTATCAACTCCTTCTGTATTATGCTCGTAAATCATCGACATCTTCATATTTTTTAATAAGTTTAGCTTTAATTCAAAAGACCCATTTTCTTTGGATCCACGTTTATAAAAAAAACAATATTTTGTACATATGCAAAAATTCAAAAAACGCAAAACCAACATTTATAACTGTACAATTAATACTAATAGTACTATTAATACAATGAAATTAATTGAAGTGACTAACTATAAAATAATTCACTGTTATAAATCAGCCTAAATATTTCTATGATTGGAAAATTTTTGTTTCAACAAACAATTTTTTTCATATATTCATTTTGCCATTAGCTTCTTGGTAGCTCGTATCTCAAAACACTCGTATGTCAGGTCATTCGTAAATCGGGGTACCATTGTTTTTCATAATACATTTTTATTCATTACAATTTCATAATTTTTTCTTTGTATTACATATATCTAAAACTGCTTCTAACTAATTTTAGTCGTTAAAATCGAGCCGTGACAAGCATATTCATCAATATCAGAGCAAGTTGCGCTGGTAACACACTATTTAGATAGATAGTTGTATTTGTTAGTTACAATGTATGACTTGTACCTTTTGGGTTGATGGTTCATGCGCTACTGATACTGTCTCAAAGAAGATAAAACGGTCTCAGTTTGTCCTTACCCTATATGTTATTTTTTCAGTATGTACTATATCGACAAAATGGTATTTGTAATAGGTTGCATTTTTCCTTAAAAATATGTTATAATAGTTTCTATTTAATTAAAATTCTATCTTACTGGTAAAAAACCATGTCATTTTGTCCTTACTTCCCCTACATATTAAACTCAATCACTCACTTAATCAATTCTAATAAATATTATACATATAAATGTAAGAATTCATATTAAAGTGAGAAGTTCATTATACAAACTGAAACTTTGCAAATCGAACTCTTAAAATTTCATATTTTTGGTTTACATCTGAAAACGGAATCATCGCATATAAAAAAATTCTCAATCGACAGGTAAAATAGTTTATATTATTGGGTTGTTTGGAAAGTAACTTCATTTTTTGTAGACATTGTGGCACGTAATTTTCGTGCAATAAACAAATACTTTAACAAAGTATATATTGGCAATTTTGATCGAACATCTTTTGTCATATTTCTGGTATTGCATAATTCCAAAATCATAAATTTGTATCGTTATTGGCAAAAAACTGATCAAAGTGCTTTTTGACCTCTATCTTTTACCGCCTAAAATTTTTTCAGTGACCGTAACAAATAATGGTCCGATGATAGCAGGTTTTGAGAATGTGATGAATGTGGCATTATGCCCCAATGTAAAAGCCAAAAAGCTTTTGGCGATGCACCAAACTTATGTGAGATCTTTCGTCGTCTTGATGCAGTACTACTCGTATGCTTGCTATGCTAACTTGCTTGTGGGTTAGTTCTGACCTTCTCTATTGAATTACATTATTTTGTTTATTAGCAAATTAAATAAAATTAATACATTAACCGTTATGTTATCTCGAAAAAGCTGAAAAACGAACAACACCTTTAAAATCTCACCGAACATACTGCATCATCTTTTTTTTGGCGAATTTCAGCTTTGCAATTGTTTTTATCAGGTTTTTCATTTTTGTTTTATGGGCAATTGCGTATATTGTATTCTTTACATCCAATTTGACATTCCTAGTGACAATTCGCTTCAAAACCTGAACATTTTTAGGACTTTTCAGAGGCGAATCAGAACTTTGAGAGAACCATACATTAAGCTTAGAGGAAAATCCCAGACATTTTAAGTGATCATGAACTGTTAAATTTGATAAATTTAATCTCAATGGAATCTTATGTATTGTTATTCGCTGGTTTCCATCTACTAATGTTTTTCTCGCGTCTTTATTAGCTTCAACCGTACTTCTTGGACGTGGTGTATCTTGGACATCAAAATTCCAGGAATAAAATTTAGCAAACCAGTTTTAGCACTGTTGTACTATCAATACGTCATTTTCATATACATCGATCAATTTTATTTTGACTTAAACAGTATTTTTAGTTTTTCTATAGCTAAAGAGTAATATATGTCGAAAATGCTACTTATTTCTTTCCGTATTCAAAGTGGCACCATCCAAAAACTACAGCGTGTAATTGTTTAGAATTTTTTACACACCAACCTTAAAATATAAGCTTCAAAATCCCAAATCAATTATTGGGCTTAAGTGTGATTTTAGGTTCAAATAAAATATAGTTAAATCTTAAGTAGCGAAAAAACGAAGTGACTTTCCGAACAATCTTATATTTTCTACTTCTTTCTTTAATTCTTACGTAGTCTGTAGTCTCTAAATATTCTAAATCACATCTAGATATTTGAAAATAGGATTCATTTTTACGCTTTGCGGTTCAAAATTTAGCTTTATGTACATTTTCCATCTAACCTGTGAACAAGATTGTGGTTGATTAGGTTCGTATCCGTGCATCGTCATATTCATGCTCACGTTAACACTCATGCTTGGGAAGACAGCGGCGCAATGCTGAAGCGGTGGAGGCGGCGGCTGGCAGGATGACCGGGACGCGCACGAGGTCGCATCATAACAACTATTGGCGTAACTTGCACCGCTGCCCGATCCTTGCGACATTAGCATCTGGAATGATGGCGATCACTTATCAAATACTATTAGGAAATTGATTGATGAATTATGATAACATATATGCAAAAAATAATGTCATCTACAAAGAGTTATACTTGTTTTTAATTTCCCGAACGAGAAGTTTGTTTTTATCAAAAAATCCGATTCGCTAATTTTATGTTTTCTCGACGTTTCAATCGACTCTGAATCGAATGAGACTAAATTTGGAAAAAGTATGTGTGCGTGTGTGTTAATGCGTGTGCGTGTGCGTGAGCAGATTTTTTTGCCGTAAATCGACGTTTTCTCACAAACGGCTGGACCGATTTCAAAAATTTAAAAGCCATTCGATGCATCTCGATGAGGACTAGCGTTTCTCTAGCGTTTTTTGTGCGACGATCAGCCGAGCCATTTCTTTGTAATTTGGGAAAAAGTGTAAAACTTTTCGTCTACATTGAAGTTTATACTACCGAATCGATTTTAAAAAATCATAAACTGTTCGAAAGATTTGGATTGGTTGGGACTGATACTGATTAGTTTTAGGTGAAAATTTATCCAGTTTTCTTATAATTAACTGTTGAAAAAAAAAATTAAGCCGATTTTCATGAAACTTTTTTTGGCGATATATATCATGGTCTTATAGAACTTACTAAAATATTACGGCTTTAGGACAAGTAGTTTAATTTTAAAAATTCATCAAAGTTTAAGAAAATGAGTAGTTTTTTTGACGTTTGTTAAAATTAAAATTAGACGATTTACTTGGTATAACGATAGAGTACTTGATCTTAATGAACATACTAAACCATTAAAGTTCTACGGAAACTAGTTCAATTATAGAAATTATTGATTTTTGAACATTTGCTTTTAGAAAATACTTCAAGTTAACGTGTTCGTCCGTTTTCAATTATGTGTAATAAATCCACTCGGAATACTTTTAATCACTTATAAGTTATATTATTTTTTATTGATTAAGTCGATTATTTACACATATCGTGAAGTTCATGTAACTTGCCTCAAAAATACCAATACCAACTAGTTTTTTTTATCAAGATACAACTGTAATGAAAACTGATATTATTAACTTCCCGTAGGGTAAGTTATAGAAATCGCAAAAATATATATATCTTTACGTTTCAGAGGTTTCTGAATATTTTGGCGTATCTTAGAAAAAATGGATGTTATGTGTGTGTGTGTGTGTGTGTGCGTGTGTGTATGTGTGTTCGGATACAAATTTTCGTCGACGATTTGAATAATTCAAAAAACATTTGATTCGTATTGGTAAGGAGACGTGCTGATTAGTTTTCGGCGAAGGCAGGTTTGGCCGTTCCGAAGATATGGGGCAAAAATGCCAAAAACGGTAACTCAGTTTTTAAGAGAACGGAGCGTCCGATTTAAATAATTCAAAGAACATTTTACTTATATTAACAAGATGAAAAACTAATAAAATTCTCATGAAGGCAGGTCTAGCGGTTTCGGAGATCTAGTAAAAAAAAGTAAAAAAAATGCTATCTGGCGGTCAAAAATGATCATTAGACATATGCACATCAAATTATCAGATATTTTATAGAGATTTAACAATAAGTATAAATTTTGTTTACATTCCTATGGGTTCCGTACCAATGCTTATCCGTTAGACGGCGGCGCGGCGCTTACCCGCTTCGATATGTATTTCAAAATACATTTTTCTTCAAAAAGTCTTTTTTGCAAAAAAAGTAAATTTTTGTCAAAAATTTATAGTTTCTGAAAAATCTAATTTTTCAGAGCAAAGTTTTTTCAAAAATGTTAATCTTTTTAAAAAAAAAATAGTTTTTGGTACGGGAAGTTCCAGCAATTTGCCATAAGGCACGATGCCATGCGCCCCACTAGTTTACCATTGTAATTTCAAAATTTATAAATTAAGGTTTCATTAATATTATTAAAAACATACTTGTGGATGAACTGTATAAGAAAGTGATGCTTGTGGACCAGTGCTCACGTATTGTGTTTGAGGTCCCGTAGCTCCAGGATGCGAAAGTGACGCATGCATGGAAGGTTGATGTGCGTTTCCCGTCGCCTGATAGCTTCCTTGTAAAATTGGTTCTTGCTGCGAACTATCTCCGCGTAAAACTGCATGTTTCAGTGATAATAAAACATCTGCCATATCATGACTAGGACGATCGCTTCTGTAAAACAAAGGTTCAATTTGGAAATGGACTTAGTGGTCAACTCATATCGCTCTAAAATATTAGTCATAGCAGTTAAAATGTTTATAGTATATATAGGGTAGAACGGGGTACAAAGGTCCAATTTGACTTGGAACAATTATATTGTAAAAACCATACTGATTATATCACAACAAATAAAACGTATCAAACAAACAACTATCTGACAATGCTCAGTGAATCCCCTAGCTAATTATCATTGCAAAATGTGTTTTTTTTACTTTTTTTAAAAACATTGTAACCTAGCCCTTTTTACACCACAGGCGGAGTAAAACGAGACGGCCAGGAGGCAACCAATCTCTCGTCTTATTTTTACGAAATTTTAAAGAGTTTTACGAAATAATAACTACATTATTCAAACAATGCAAAATAGAAAATTTTTATATTTATGGGTGCATTTTTACAGAGCTAACATTGTATGTAACCTTGATCTGGTATTTCGTCAGAAATATTTATCAGCAGAGTTGGAATAACTATTTATTTAAATTATTTTCTGTACAATTGCTTTTTTAAACTTATTTTACTTTTAAATAAAATTAATAGTTGTTCCAAATCTGCTAATAAATATTTCTGACAAAATACCAGATCAAGGTACTCGTATTATTTGCAGTATTATCTCATTGTCAGTAAAAAATGTACCCATAAAATATATATTTTGCATCAGTTGAATAATGTAGTTAATATTTTGTGAAATCCCTTTAAAATTATAATAAGATATTTGACTTGTTTGTCACCTGCTGTTCTAATTTACTCCGCCTATGGGGTAAAAATCACCAGATTACAAATTTTTGGAAAACAGCAAAAAAAAAACTCATTTCTATAATGATGAATTAGTTGGGAGTTTTACTGAACATAGTCAAATAATTTCTTGTTTGATATGTTTCATTTGTTGCGATATAATTGATTTGGTTTTCACAATATAATTGTTCAAAGTCAAATCGCAGTTCTTGTCTCACCCTGCTTTATATAATTTCAAAAATGTATAAATATTATATTTCATTCTAATTTTTATGAATCAAAAATCAAATCGCAGCTATTTAAAAAAATTAAGAGTAGTCTTAGTGACTAGAGTTTCTAAATAAATATTTTGCAAACTCACTTATAATTTGGCTGGCATGGAGAAAAAGGGAATAAGTTTGGCAACGGATCCATATCCAAAGATGCGAGTCCTGGTATTGAAGACATGTCGTCAGACCAATAATCTGCGCCGTCGCTGCAACTAACAAAAAACACTTTTTTATCATTTCACATAATTATTAGCTCTATCAAAATTTGCAAAATTTGTTATAATCGATACCGTCTATGAATGAAAAAGTAATAATCAGAATTAGTCTACAGTATGATAGACTATCGATTACATAATTTATAATTGCTAGTATGTTTTGTACACATCTGGATCTGCTTTATATTGGGTTGGGAAAAAGAAATCCATTATTTTTACGTGAACTTCAAGACTTTATTTAACATGTTTTGCATTGTCCGATTTAGCTCAAATATGCACCATTTTGTTCTATAATTTGTTGCCATTTTAATGATAGCTTCATTATGCCTCTCTCATGAAAGTCTTGGTCCTTATTAGCGAAAAACTCCAGCAGTTGATTTTCACACTCTTCCCTTGATGCCAATTTCTTATTACTAAAAAAGTTTTGCAATGCAAGAAAAAGATGGTAATACGATGGACTGTATGGTTATGCGAAAGCGATCGTGGTCAAAGACCAGAAACGGCCAGAATTGGCCAACAAAAGAGGTGTCGTGTTCCATCAGGACAACGCCAGGCCACACACTTCTATAGTGACTCGTCAGAAACTCCAGGAGCTTGGTTGGGAAGTTTTGATGCATCCACCATACAGTCCGGACCTCGCACCAAGCAATTACCATCTTTTTCTTGCATTGCAAAACTATTTTAATGATAAGAAATTGGCATCAAGGGAAGAGCGAAAAACTCCAATTGCTGGAGTTTTTCGCTAATAAGGACCAAGACTTTTATGAGAGAGGCATAATGAAGCTACCATTAAAATGGCAACAAATTATAGAACAAAATGGTGCATATTTGACCTAAATCGGACAATGCAAAACATGTTAAATAAAGTCTTAAAGTTCACGTAAAAATAATGGATTTCTTTTTCTCCAACCCAATAAAAATACCAAAACTCACTTGTACCAAAACCTATTTGTGATATACTCGTATATGTATATATGTGTAATTTTTAATTTTAGCAAGAATATTAAGGATTATGCACCTAACAGATTTAAAATTATATTGAATCTAACTTTTGGTCACTGTCTGATAAATTTGGTGTGGTATTTTACTATATACTTATTAAAAAATTAAATATCTGAATTTATACATTTGCGCATTTTTTAGGTTACTTTAAATGCACGACATAATTAACTTACCTGTGGAATTAGGAGTAATTAAAAAATTGTTATCATTAAGCCAAAATCAAATCTAATAATCAAATATGAAATATACTCACTTCTTTTCCAAATCGCAACCTTCATTGTAGCAGCAGCTGGAAAAATTATAAATGCCATGTAAATAATAAAAATCATAAACTAAAAATAAAAATATAAAACATTCCTCGTAAGGAATAAAACTAATAATAAGTAATGCTTTGTGTAATAAAATAGCAACTGTATATTGAAGAAATTTAATCACCGATTTTTCTCACGCTTAGCGGTACTATTATTACAACTTGCAATATGTAATTCTTAAATTACAATATGTATTCCTACATATTTTTTGTAGAAACAGATCTAGCCATGTTATTGGTGAAAAATATGCTTTTTGGAATTATGTTCACACTTCACGTCATCTATTGACCTTAACTGTCCTGAAAAAATTTAGAAAAAAAATATCTCAAGTTTTTTGGAATTTATGAGCTTCTAAGTGCAATCTAGAAATTTGGTAAAATTATGACTATTTTTTGGTTAGTGTGGTTAACTTTTATTAAGTTTGTTTATTTAAATTTTGGAAGCATTATCGTAAATAACATTTCTAGGACTACATTAAAAATAATAACTCAATTGCCTCATGTTTTCAAGAATTAAAACTTTTTGTTGAACTATGTATTTAATTTTTTTAAAATCGCTCGACTTAGAGTTGCCCCCCTTCAAAAAAAATTTACTAAACTGTGTTGGCAAGTTGCATAAAAAGTTGACGCATTTAATTAGGATTGTAAAATGGTAAAATACTTGATAAATTTATTGTTGAAAAATATTGACATGATTTCCATCATTTTACTCACAATCAGTTCAAATGTTTGTTATAATAATATTATACAAAGTCAAAGTGCGGCGAGAGTAAAACATTTTAACTACGTGAGTAAAATGCACTAACATGAACAAAATTAGTAAAAATTAACGACAATAACTAAAAATTGGCCATAATTTCATCAAAGCCTCCAGGTTGCACTTAAAAGTTCATAATTTCCAAACAATGTGAGATATTTTCTTCATTATGTCAGAACAGTTACGGTCAATACTATCACTCCGTTTCAGTTTGACGTCAAGGGCTAGGACACCCTGTATATATAATTTTTTCAGTATATAAATTTGGTATATATTTTAATAAGTTAGTTGATTCGGGTAGAAGCATCAAGTTGCAAAATTAAAAAAAAATGAATGCAAGATTCTAAGATTTACAGATAATGGTATGTACAAGAATAGAATTGTTTGGTTAACACATCAATGACCTACACTTTTACACTAATTAAAATCCAGGCAATTAATAATTCAAACATTTAAAACCATTATTGAGTTAACAAATTAAATATATAGTTAACTATGCAATGTGCATGTATGTACAGAGTTTTTTTAAAAGTAATAAAACTGAATGAATTGTGTTTATTTTATAACCAAGGCTGATTCCATCTGCTACATAATAAATATTAAATAAAATGTCTTTCATATTTATTCGAAATATTGCCCAGAAAATTTAGGTTTCTGTATATATATATATATATATATATATATATATATATACACCTAAGTCTGTTTTTACACGGTCTTTTTGTACACGGTTTTGAAATAACACGGTTTGAAAATTGAATATTTTTAATTTTTTTACACGATTTTATTCCATTTAGCACGATTTGAAATTTTATGTACTTAAATTTTTTTTGGCAAATTTAATTTTTGCGAAGTATGTTCATATCACAAAAAAGTATTTACGAAGGAAAAAAGTCTGAAACCATCGATAGTATCGATAGTTTGCGAACACTAGCTTAAAAATTTAAGTGAATTCCCCTTTAGCGCGTACAAACAATTTTTACTGGTCAAAGCAAATGTGAAAAGCACTAAGCATTATATATTTGATTTAATAAAATAAACATGAATTCTTGTTCTTAAAAATTCTTGTATTTCACTCATTTTAATAGGTTTTAGAGATTAGGAACAAATCACCCATTTTTGTATAAGATCAATGTCTTTTTTTACACGGTTTTTTTTTACACGGTTTCTTCTGGAACCAATCTCCGTGTAAAAACAGACTTAGGTGTATATATATATTAGGGTGGTCCTTAATATGGACATTTTCAAATTTCCTTGCTCCCAGGAGCTCAATTGGTTCCAAATAGATAAAAAACAATTCTCTGAAAGTTTTAGCTCTTAATATTAACGTTTAGATAGAGCGCAATTCAATCAAAGTTTTGTATGGAAATAGCATGGAAAAATTTTCAAAAATTTTAAAAATGTTTTTAGATGTAGTTTAGCGAACAAATAAATGAATAAAACTTATTCATTTGTCGCTAAGTTATACCTAAAACATTTTTTTTTAATTTTCAAAATTGTTTCCATGCTCTTTCCATACAAACTTTGATTGAATTGCGCTCTATATAAACGTTAATATTAAGAGCTAAAACTTTCAGAGAATTGTTTTTTATCAATTTGGAACCATTTGAGCCCCTGGGAGCAAGGCATATATACATATATATATATATATATATATATATATATATATATATGTATATATGTAGGATAATTGATTTCAATTTAAAACTTGAACTAATTATAAATTATAAAATTATTGAATCCATAAGTTTTAGCCTACGTCAAGATCGTAATTCAGGTGAATAAAAGTAATACACTTGCATTGATTAACACTACACTACTACACTATAATTAAATTCAGTTAAATCCACTTCAGTTTTTTACTTGGCGTTAAGCTCAAATCAATTATCGTACATATATTTATGTATGGGTATTATATGCTACGAATGGCCATTTTCTCATTCTTTAGCACGCCGAGTTTTCAACAGTCTAAGTGCAGTTATTGCTAGTTCCTATAAACATTTACATAACATTGAAATGCACATTTATAAATTAGTTAGTGAAAATAGGTCTTCTCTTGGGTGTTGTGCGGCAAATAAAAATAAATCAAATCAAATTTCAAATATATTTTTAAACTTACTTGTGCGTGTCACCACAAGCATAGTTGAAGCAGCAACTGCAACAATTATGCACTAATTACTTGACAAATAAAACAAATAATAATATAATTTAAAAAAAAAGAGTTACACAATATACAAATAATTTCAAAAATAAAAATTAAATTCAAATTAAATTATTTTGAATATAAATATAATAATTAGTAAATAGCGCTTGCTTATATTTTAATTTGCTATTCACCGAGATTTGCATAATTTTTATTAATTTATTGCAAAATGTTGCTATGTTGAGAGTTTTGATAATTTCGCACAGATTTTAGTAATTACTTTATTATATATTGCATTTTTTGTCTAAGCCATATTTTACCAAATTTTTATGTTTGAAACTCACCTTGACTAATTTGATCTTCATTTACGATTTGACATTACTTCAATACAACGTATTGATATCTCAATCATGCAAAAATTACAAATAAAAATTAACAAAAGTTGCCATAATGATTGCACTGTGTATTGTGTTTTCATATTAAATTAATTTGTGTTCAAAATGTTGAAACCAAAAATTTTAAAACTAGACTCACCTTCACATTTTTCGTTATACTATTTCTTTATAAGACAAAACGAAAACTCTATGCACTACACGTAAAATTAATTGAATAATTAAAAAGTATTTAAATTATTGAAAACCAGTCATAGTTTCATACTTCACTAATCACTATTTCATTTTTTATGTTAACGAGTTAAAACAAAAATCATAAAAGTAGCAATAATAAACACTACTAGTTCCACTATTAATTGATCCAGCTATTGGATCCGTACCATATTAATGAAATATTAATGAAATTTATGTATAAAAATGAAAATAAAAAGTACAAAATCATAAAAAATAAAAGAAACAGAATACCGTTTAAACTAACAGCATTAAATATCATTAGTTAAAGCAAATAATTTATACAACTAACGTTCTTACAATGCATCATTATCAGCGTACTATCAATTTATTAACATAGTGCAATTGCAATGTCGTATAATTTTGAAAAAAGTAAAGTAAAACAACATTTAAATCCAATGGCAAACTTGTAACACATGCAAATGTGAAATTTGATAAACGAAAAAATAACAAAGTATACAAATTCACACACGACAGAAAGATGAACGACGAGAAGCCAATTAAAATGTTTGATATTAATTTAAAGAAAACCGGTAATCGGCTTCATTTATTAATCAATTCAGAGGGATGAGGTGCTTTAGATGCAGGCACATGCAATTTAAAATAAAACATACGTAAAAGATCTAGAGATGATGTTGTCAAATACAAACTTAATTACAAATCATAAGTAATGGAGAGTGTGTAAGACATAAAAAATGAAAACAAATTAAAACAAGGCGATTGATCATACTAAAGTTGTATCACTCACCCCAACAAGTTACTATTATCAAAGCAGTAGGTGCAGTCGTCTGGCACGATGGCGTTCTCGTAGAATCCTTCTGCTGCTTCGTTGGCCTCCGGGGCGTCTGCTTCACCTTCGACGTCCGCTAAATACTGCGTCCGTTCGTACTCCGGTTCATCGCCGTACTCGTGATATTCGGCGTCCGCGCGGTTATCGCACTGATTTAAATACATTATGACGTTGTTCCAAAAAAAAAAATGATAACTCCACCCTCTTGGAATGGGACCCACTGTGGAACTAAATTGCGAGCCCTCTGCCTGCGATTCTGCGCGGTTTTGAAATCACTTATCTCTCACCTCTGAAGGAGAGACAAATGTGTCTGTTATACGTCGGAGGCTGAAGAATCTGATTGTAGAGACTGTAATTTAAATAATGTAATAATGATAAATAATCTAGAATGCTTTATTTACGATATTATTTATAAATATTTAAAGTTACTTTCCTGCGTTAGAATTATTTTTTTGTAAAGTGTTAAAAATTGTTATTATATTTTAGTGATAAAACTAGATTACGAGATTATATTTCCTAACGCAGTTATCTACTAAAACATAATTTATGCATAAGTGCTAATTTAAAATACAAATCTTTTTAAATACGTTATTTATTAAGTGCAGTGTAACTAACGAAGCTTGAAAATTAAACTGTGAGTTTTTAAAGAAGAATATTATGTTATATTCTTAAATAGATGAATAGTTGTCAAATAATTCAAATATTTGTAACTTGAAAAAAAAAAGTTATTTTGGTCACGATGCTTGTGGCAGAATAAAGTTATTTTACGTAATAGTATTTTTTATTTCATGAAAAGCTACGCTTGTAACTACAATATTTATTTATTATATTTATATTAGATTAATAAAAGATCTGATGATCTGAAGTGATTGAGATTTACTCGTTTTCATAGTTTTTAAGTTTTTAATACATTTACACCGAGAAGAAAATTACGATGAAATCATTCAGATTGAATTTCTTGATAATTTTCAATTCTTTACTATATATATTTTATACCAAAGTGCGTTAGACTCCGGATATGATGACTCTATTTTTGAAATTATATTTAATATGTTCAAAAATATACTATTAGTAGATCATCATTTAAGATAAAATTTATTACAAATTGTAAAATATAGATTTGGTCAAAAAACGTACGATTTTAAAATTTTGAATTAGGGGAGACTGGGTACGGTTGTAAACTATACTTATTTTGAATTAGGGTCCAAAGCGAGAAAGATGTATTATGATTGTTCGAATAAATTTTCATTATTGCTTGCAGTCAGTGCCTTATATTTAACATAATTTGTAGACAATTTTGTAGCATTGCTTTGAAAAAAAAAAATTAAAAGTAAGTTTTCGTATTCTTTTAATAAAAACTAGTGTTAAAAATTGACATTTACAGATACAGATAGTAGTTATTTACCAGCAATTAGTTTTTACTTACTTGTTAGAAAATTTAATTCAGATGATTTGTTTTCAAAAGTGTGCATTGGGTACGGTTGTGATAAATTTTGTGGGTACGGTTGTGACATATATCTCTTGTTCTTTTTGGATGAATATTAAACAGATAAAGAAAAACCTATTTTAACTAATAAAATACGAAAGAGAAAGGGAAAGGCAAATTCAATACAAGAAAGAAAACGATTTCACAAAGAATTCTTGTTAACTTTGTTTAAAAAAATATGTTTTATTATATATTCATAAGCTTTGTTTAAATATTTATGTTGTGTTGTGTTGAATTTTATTGTTATTAACGACAATAAAAGTTGTTATAAACTATTTTGGTTTTTATAGCTATTGTTTTTTAACATATTTTTATGCCTGTCACAACCGTCATCATGAACTTATTTTTGTAATTTGATTTGTTTTGTAAAGGATTATTTAAAAAATTTGAGCTTTTAGGATTTTTATTATAAAATATACTTATACATAAATTTAGTAGTTTTTATAGCATTTTATAAAAAAAATATTTATAAAATTTCAGGCATAATTAACTTGATTAAATCAAATTAAATTAAGGAATGAATATATGTTTTATAAAAAACATCGATGTAGAGCTTTAAACATTATACAAATAAACATATTTGTACCTTTCAAAAAAAAAAGATATATTGCCTTCGGATGTGGAAGGTTGTGACACTCGCCCTCTTCTTGTATAATTTGATTTTATGACTAATACATTGTATTTAAGGACAGTATTTTAGTATTTTCACGAAGACAAATGTTCAAATTATCATTTAATTTACTTTTCTTTAAGCTAACTGGTATAACAACAAAATTATTGCGGATGAAAAAATGGCACAACCGTACCCAGGCTCCCTTACTAACAAACTCTTTTATTTTTGTATTTAAATAATCAATTACGGTAGAGTCCGAAAATAAAGAAACAGTATATGTATATTGTTTGCTTATATACAAAAGATTTTCATAACAACAAATTTGAATGCTTTACATTTATATTTAAAAAATGTTTTAAAAAATCATTATCCCGTTGTTTAATTCAAAATAAACCCCATATTTTCCATGGATTCATTAGAATATGTTTAAATAGATTTGAACTGATATTAATGATATTGATAAATGAAAAATATATTCGATGACGCCCGATGGCAGTAAATAAAATTAACTCAACCCGTAGCCGTACAGATACTCGATTTGTATCTAAATCATTTGCCTGAAATTCAGTCGTGGCGCAAAGGTCTATGGGCGCAGGTCATTCGGTCGTCATGCCATCGTCTACGGGCGCCCGCCTACGACAGCTACGCGGGGAAGGCTCGTCCAATGGAAACACTGGCGAGCGTAGAACGAACACGCCTTGAAACGCGCATGAGCACGCTGCACACCGCGGAAAGGAACGCAAATGATACGAATGCGAAATATTTGCTATAAAGTGATTACGTTAAGGGGCACAACTAGTGTGAAATTTTGAAAAAATAGATTTCTGTTTTTTTTCATATTTTGGTAGATTACACCTTTAAAAATAATATATAAAAATTTCAAATTGATGCCTCAAATAGTTTTCGAGTTACAGTCATTTAAAAAGTATATATATATAGTATTAAGTTGTCAAATATCTCCCTTCCGCTTTTTTGCTCTTGGTTTATAATACAAAAAGGCGGAAGGGAGATATTTGACAACCTTATATATAGTACAACAATCATTTTATCTTTAAAAGCGTTTTTCTCGAAACAGCATTTTCCGAATTTGCTGCAGTGATTACTCAAAAACGAATGATCAGATCACTATCAATTTTTTTTACATGTTCTTTATATAGTTCTCCGTAAAATGAACTATCGATTTTTTGATCGGATCAAAAATCGAATTTTGGTAGTCGAAAAACGACCAAAATTTTGGGTAAAATTCGACATTTTTTTAAAAAACGCCGCCATTTTGTCAATTTTTGATTTATTTTTTTCATCGTAGTTTATTTTACAGATAATATTATCTAGTTTAACGAAATTTTTTTTTTATTTCATCCACGTAGAAGGCCGGAATCACTGCAGCAGTTAAGGGCCTTTTTTTTGTCGCGCCGTTGGAGATCGACGATAACTTAAAAAATATTTAATTTTTTTCTTAAAAAATTTTACTATGTATTCTTAAAACATGTATAAATATATTCCTAAAATTTTGAAATGATTGATAAAGTAGTCTTTTTAATATAAATTCCCAAAAATTACCTTTTTTTTAGGCGGTTACACTAGTTGTGCCCCTTAAGATTGTCAAAACGTAAAAATATTATATTCAGCATAAACTTTTACCAATGAACTTCTATTTAATTAATATTTTCAATAAAAATCACAAAACTTTTCGTTTAAGGAGGTATTCAAGTGTAGAGGCATGAAGTTTGGGTCAATTTAAATAATCTATACGTTTTTTTACTATTACTTGTTTTAAATTATTACTACTTATGTATCAACGTTGCAAGAGTACAGAAAGAAATTAAAACAAAAGTTAATAATTTTAAACATTAACTGTGGTTGAAGTGGGGGTCTCAAAGTTTTCACGTAACCATGCCCACAATTGCAACCCTCCTAGTAATTCGAAATAAAGAAAAAAAGATTATTCTATAGAATGATGTCGCTATGGTATATACTAAGTTAGAAAATTAATTTTTGACAAAATGGTACTGTTTGAAAAAAAGGATCAATTTCTGACTAGTTTTTTGAGCTTCTCGTATTTTTTAAAAATAGTAAAAATGAGATGAAACTGGTATATGTCCGAAAGAAGTCTATAAACAAGATTTTCCGAAATTTTCAAGTAAATCGCTCTAGTAGAACACGAGAAATCGTGGACATCGTATTGATAAAGCTAGTTTTGAGAAAAACGCGTTTAAAGTTTTGCAAAAGAAAGGCAAAAGACAAGGATTATCATAGTCAAACAACTGTATATTCAAAAATAATTTAAATATTTGAAAATCTTCTTGTTCACATATTCTTGAATAGTTAAACTTTGCAAATATGAAAAAAAAGAAAAAAACTCTTTTATAATTTCTGTTACAACTCTCAACAAGCATCAAATAGTTAATTGTAATTTGTAGTAATATATAAGCGACTAAATAACAGAGCGACGTTAATGATAATATAATTTAATTGTAAGATAAAATGGAAGATTAAAGAAATAATCAATGAAAAATTACAAGACACAGGCAATATCATTCTCGTAAAATTATTTTTTCATGATTTAACTTTATTTTTATTTTTTGAATATAACACATAACCTTATTATTATTTTATTAAAAATAATACTAACATATTAATATTTATATTAGTATACACTTGTATTAGATACTGAACATTTTCGTTCAATTATTCATGTTCTACCTCTAATATTTTCATATATATTAATCTTGCTAACACAATTCTACACCTAACATGTTTCTTGTTTTTGTCCTTAAAATTAATTCTTCATTTGTGTTTTTGTTATATTTCATTATTGGTGCTTAAATTAATACAAATTATTTATTATTATAGTTATTTTTAGTTTTTTTATTTTTAATTGAACTCTTTTATTTTGGATTATATACCTATTTATAATAACATAATTGTTTTAATTAAATTAATGCGCTATATTTGTATAATATATGTTAAATCTTGATCAAAATTTATTAAAGTAAAATTTTAGACAATAAGCTTATTTTAATATTTATTTGCAAATATAAAATATACCAGAATTAAATGATTAC